GAGTCCCATTTTAAAAGATCCACTCAAATATCTCAAAGATACTACGTTAATTCGAAAAGTGTTTCAGAACAAAAGTTTTGTAATTTTGAAGGGAACATGCCGTTGGATGCCGTTGTCAGGGCAAGATCACTTTGAATTTTTTAAATGGAACTCTCAATTTTTCATTCACATATTCTTGCAGCTTATCTCGAGAGCTTTCCAAAACACTAATTAAGTTCATTTTCATTAAGTAATGAAAGTATCGCCGACATTAGCATTACGCAAGATGTCCAATCAAAGTCATTAGAGATTGTTTCTCTTGTTTTCATTTTTGCATTGAAAATTCATTTTTATGTATATACCTTGATCTTAACAAATGTTATTCAGGACATGATCTTGAACAACATTCAAGAGATTTTGGCCGCCGGTAATGTCGGCAGTACTGTAATTTTCAAGCCTTATAATTCGCAAAGTACTTAATGAAAATGAACTTAATTAGTATTTTGGAAAGCTCTCGAGATAGTCACAAGAATATATAATGAAAAATTCCATTTAAGGATTCCATTTAAAATTCAAAGTGATCCCATAAAAAATAACTTTATTGTAGTGTTTTGAAAAGCTCTTGACAGTTATTAGATTCTGAAATCAAAAATAGGGTATGCATTTAAAAAAAATCGATGTGATCTTGATCTGACTTTGGCGATGCCATCCAAGGTCAAACTGATAAGATCAAAATAGATTTTTTTGAACCCAATTTTTGTCTGAAATATTTTTCTATAAAAAAGTGATTCCATAAAAAATTCAAAGTGATCTTGCTGACTTTGACAATGCTACCGAAGATCAAATCAATAATACCATCTTATGTTCTCCACAAAACTTTCGTCTGAAACACTTTTCGATTTAACGCAGTGTTTCTGAGATATTTGAGTGGTCTTTTAAAATAGAACACTATATATATATGTACATATAGTATACAGAGTGTTTTAGAAATAGTTGGTCAAACTTCAAGAGCATATTCCATTTATAATAAGGATGAAAAAAAGTCATATAAATATTGGTTCGGAAACGCTTCCTTTCCAAATTATAAATATTTTTTTATTATATATTTATACTTATATATTTTATTTTATACTTATATCTATATCTTATTTTATACTTATATCTATACTTTATTTTATACTTATATTTATTTTTTATTTTATATTTATATCTATATTTTTATTACAAAATTTGCTGAAAATAATTTCCTTCCGCATCGATGCATACTTCGCATCGATGTCGTAGACGTTCAAAAATTCTTGGAGTATTTTTTCACACGCAGCGATAATTTCGGAATACTTCCACAGTAGCAACAGGAATATCATACACGAGGATCTTAAGGTGTCACCATAAAGAAAAATCCAAAGGATTCAAATCAGAAGAATGTTTAGGACCAAGCAATGGATCCTCCTCTACCAATCTATTGATGTAATTATTATTCAATTCTCGAGCAATGCGGCTGAAATGTATTGGAGCTTCATACGTGAACCATATTTGATTGCGTATCTGTAATGAAACATCTTCTAATATTAGAGGGAATTGCGTTTCCAAAAATTGTCTGTTTTACCATTAAGTATAAATAGAAAAATTGGTCCAAGAAATCTTCAATAATACTAGTCCATTGCACAAAAACGTAAGTATAAAATAAAATATAGGTATAAGTATAAAATAAAACAATGTTTATAACTTGGAAAGGAAGCGTTCCCACGTTTATATGACTTTTTTCATCCTTATAATAAGAGGAATATGCTTTTAAAGTTTGGCTAATTATTTTTGTAACATCTTGTGTGTGCGCGCGCGCGCGTGTGTGTGTGTGTGTGTGTGTGTGTGTGTGTGTGTGTGTATGTGTGTGTAGATTATTTCTTTTCAAGATTTAGTATATTGATTTATTTTTTTAAACTTACTTCGGGTAATCTGACAAGAAGATCATGAAATCGACCCGGCTGTTGAGGAGCGCTGTGCTCGACAAAACTTCGCAGACAGCTCATGTACCGTTCTTGTATTTGTTCTAATTCCAATGTACTTCCTCGTGCTAAGAAAAATAAGCGAAATTAGTTGAAATATGTGTTTGATATATTTCAGAAATTGGGGAAGTCAAATCATTATAACTGCAAATTGCAATTGAAATGTTGCATATATTCTGATTTAATTTTTCATTTCTTTCTATAAGTGATTTCATCAATACGAGATAATAAAGCAGTAGTATACTCGAGAAGAATGTGATCTATATGAAAAAATAAGTTGAAAACGTAGAATAAAATTTTATGAAGCTTTGTTTTAAGAAAATCAATATTAAATATTCGCCATTAAGTACGCGTGCACTTAACATGTCTCGATTTAATGCATTTCTAGACTAGTATCTCTGTTCGTATTTATTATTGTATATTAATCTTTAAACCGTACACGTCCCTTGAGCACCTACTAATAGTACACAGATGCGAATTGGGATTTGACATATTTAATTGCAAGTCTTTCTTGAGGATAAAAACAAAAATTTGTTTAAAACTACTCTTTTCTGAGATATAATTTTCTCCGATGGTATCACTTAAATTTAATGAAAAAGCATATTTAACATTGGGATAAGCCGCGATAATTATTCATGCGCAAGTGTTAGCAAATTTTTATGGTGCGAATTCGCACTAGCATATTGTTTGAATTTAAATAATCGAGAATAAAACAAGATATTTATATACATCAAAAATTATTTTATAAATAGTTGAAAATATTGTTCATTCAAATAGACAATTCTGCTCTTCGAAGTAAATTTTTATGAATGCTATCTAATGTGTTCTAGTACTTTAATTTATCTATCCGTACCCGCCGGTGAAGGTATATTTAAAGTCGATTTTATGATTAAATCGTCATAAGTATTTGTTCTCGCGGAATTTGTCGGTGTGAGACAATAGACACGTACGCACATATATCCGGATGTAATATATAGCCAAGTCTGCCAAGATCATATATTACTATTTGTGTGCTACATTAGTTCAATAGAATTAGAATTTCACCAAAAAAAAATTGTAAACCAGCATTCTCTGTATAAAAATCTTCGGAAGGCCATCAGAAAAGAAATGCATGTTTGAAATTTGTATAGGAAATATGCGAAAAAAATCGAATAGTTGCAAAAAGCTTATTTTTCGCATACGAAAGATATTGTTTGTATGGAAAAAAATTTCATATGAAAAATGTAGATATTCAAAATACCTATAAAATGAGGATTGTTAAAAAAAACCTGTTTTTTTAACAACCCTATTTTTAAACAAAAAATTTTGTTTTTTTTTTATTTGGAATGTTTGATTTATTTTGTATTTTTTGAGCAACAAAAAATATGTTTTAAATAAGAAAAAAACGTGTTTTTTTTTGTTTAAAAAGTTTTTTGTTGCTTAAACAAACAAAAAATATTATGTGAATATTTGAAGCTAAAAAATAATAAATAACTGAAAAAAATCAGTTATTTTTATTTATTATTATTTTTATTTTATATTACTCCTGATATGTTTCTTGTGTGAACGTCATTGAGCGCTTTTCCAAAGTGCAACACGAATTTATTATCGATCTTATTGATCCTGTAAATCGGATTGATAAATCAAGAGTACTAGTTCATATTATCCTGCAGTCATGCCTGACGTTATATACTACCGAGCAAAAACTCCATTCGAAATTTATCTGAGGAAGCCATTAAATATGTTAAGCCAATAACATGATGGCTTGCGCTAAAAAATAATATTAATATTGTTACATTCGACTTAGTAGCACAATTCCATACAGCAGTTGCTTCTTCTGCTGGCACAGAAAGATTGTTTTCAGCTTTTAGATTAGTGCACCACAAAACTAACAAAGTTAGGCACTGAAAAAGCTTCAAAATTAGTAACAATTTTAAAGGCATTGAACAAAAAAATAATTTAATTGAACATGAATATTGAGAATTGAGATTGTATAATCTGATCTTTTTTGAAAGTTTTTATAGTTTTTACAGTTATTAGTAGAAAAAAACTACTACTGAATGTAGTTTATACTTTATTAAAAGATTGATGAATTTTATTTTATTTTATATGTTTATAGTCTATATTTATGTAGTAGTACTAGTAGTAATATGTATATATAAATAAATAAAAAAATTTTTTGCAACATATATATTATTTTTTGTTTCTTTTTTACAATTTCTTTTCCAAATCACATATTTTAATTGCAGTGTTTTTAAACAATTTTAAACAATAGTTTAAAATTGTTTGAAACAAAAGTGTTTTAAACAATAAGCCCAGTGTTTTAAACATGTTTTAAATAAATCGTTTTAAATGTTTTGTTTAAAACATAACAATCCTGAAAATGAGTCGTGGAAAATTAAGATCTATTAGTTAAGCAGAAAAAAAGTAAAAATCACCGAAAAAAGCCTTTTCTTTACTCGTTTTCTATTTATCAAGATTTAAACACAAAGCTTTGAAATTCTTGTAAAATATAGTCTTCGTGAAAAAATCTAGCCCTAAACAAGCCTGAAATTCATTAGTTTTTGCAAAAAGCCATTCGTTCACTAAAAACTTGTCTGCGGAAAACTTCATTTTTCTCATCTTTGAGCAGTCGCACAGCAATTTAACAGGGTGATTTTGCTAAGCTTCTACACTATCACGTACACTTATTGTTAGTAATAAAACGATTTTTTGCAGTTAAATTATACTTAAAATGACTTTGGATATCTTTCTTTCATAAAAAAAAATAGAATAATTCCGTTATCCAATGTCCAATAGTCGTGTGAAGCATTCAATAGTTGACATTTTTCTACGAATTTAAAAAAAAATTATCCTCCGATTGTTAGGAGTCGAGAAAATAATTTAAAAAAAATAATAATAATAATACTTTATTGTATTGCATCATCTTACAAATTAGATTTACAGTTAGTCGTACATATAGAAGTAATAACAGCAAAGTGCAAGCAAATGGCAAGGTGACAGCAATACTGCTAGATGTATAGCATAACGAGTTATAAATTTGATTTGCATCGACAATGTTAACTGTGAGATAAAATGAATTGAGCATCAGAAGAATGAAAAAAAGAAAGAAAAGAGGAAGATCTAATATCAGGAAGTAAGAAGTTGTAGAATTTGGGCGCGGTGAAAGAGAAAGAGGCACGAAATTTGACTGAGCGGTGAGCGGGAAAAGAATTACTGTAACGAGTTACAGGTAATGAAGTTCAGAGTGAAATTCGTAGTTAAAATGTAAAAGAAATTAAAATGTATACATATCATGAAGATATGATAGAGTATTGGAACGTAGAACATTAAAAACCATACAACATAGATGAAGGATGAAATGCTGCTTACTATTTAGCCAGCCAGATCGTTTGAATAACGGAGTGATGATCAAATTTACAATTATCATACGCAGGCAGCAGTTTTGCACGCGCTGAATGCAATTCAAGAGTTGACTAACTGAGTATATAAACAATATCAACTAAGGAAATAAGGAAAGAATGAATTATTGAGAGAGATCAAGTTTTTATGAGACGGTGAGAATATGTCGAAGTGGAGTACAAAAGATAAAGATGTAAATAACATTTAAGAGTGACGTAATGCACAAACGAGAAATCAACATAAGCCAAGAATAAGAGCAACAGAAGGAGTACCGGGGGATTAGAGTGAAGAGAACATTAAAGGATTGAACACGAGATAGTAGTGCAGAGGAATCATAAGTAGATATTGGAATTTAGCGGGATTTAACGTCAGACCGTTGGATAGAAACCAGTCAGCGATGAGCTCAAGGTCATGATTTAAATTAGCTGAAGAAACGATTGCAGTGGAAAGAGAAAATTACTTCACGAAAAAAACATTATTTGCATACATATACAACCTCGCTAGCGGAAGAACAACAAGATTTGCAAATATGCTGAAGAATAGAGAAGAAACACTAAGGATAGAGCACTGAAACATAGGACAAGGCGCGAAGAGAGGAAAAGACGGAAAGAGAATTATACTTTTAATTACTACTCTTTGAGAGCGATCAAAAAGGAAGGAACTGATAAGTCGAGTCAGATTCAGAAAAGCCGTAAAAAATCATTGACTCTGTCTCTAATTTTTGTGACTTTAATTTTTAAGATTAAGAGTTCCATTTAGTACCAATTTGTCAAGGAAGAATGAATTTACTGTTAAAGAATTCTTGAATTTTTTACTGCCAAAAAAAGTTTGTTTAAAATCATTGGAAAATTTAGGAACGCGAGCGAGGCAGTACGCCGGGCGAAACCGGCGCGTGGTGGAATGGGAAAGACCGAACCGCTCGCGCGTCTAATTTCATGTGTTAAAATTTGCTATAAACTTATTCTCAGCAATAAAAATTGACGTAGAAACATGATTTTTTTTTAATCTGGGATAGCTTGACAAGGTATTAATAAATAATTAGCCAAATGTTTCAAAGTAATTATCAGCAAAGTAATTGTAATCATGAAATTTTTCTAATTTTTTGAATTTTTAGTTTCTTTGCTTATTACTAAAAAAATCATTGAGTATACTTCAAAGAAACTGATTTTCAGCAAAAAATGTTCCCTAAGACATTGTAATTTTTCATTAAAATGTAAATCCATATAGCACCGATTATTGTGAAAACTTTTCAGAAATGTTTCAACCTTTCACTCATATGCAACAATTCTAAAAGATTTCTGCAATATGTCATGCATGAAATATGCAGTAGCGCGTTAACCTAGCTTTTGGGACTTGAGCTCTAGAGCATTGAAATGTTAGGAGTGCCACAATTTAAAAAGTAAATGTAAATCCAAGGTTAAACAACATTGTTTTATAATAATAATTGTCCCTGTTCCTAAACATATCATAATAGTTAAATGGATAAAAGATCAAAGCTTCAAGCTTTCACCAGTAGATCTATTCTACAACTCTTGATAAAAATTTCGTTATTGTATAATACCGTAATGCAGTTTTTTATCATGATGAAAAAGCAGCGCAATGACGTTATAATGAAACTTGCGTTAAGAATAATAAAATAGTCCTGCAGCACTGTTTTGTAAGAACAATGTAGTAATGACGTAATAAT